ATGATAATGTTCGTATTGAAATATAACATAGTACAAGTTAGTAGGTAACAAAAATGATAATGATTATATGTATACTGAATTTCCGAACATAGACGAGATGAAACTGTAATTTCACAGAGTTAGGTAACTGGTAAAGATTTTGCATTGATCATAAAAAAATTTGAGCTTTACATAAGTTTGTGATTGTTTGAAGGAATTTGTTGAAGACACAGATGGATGAGATAGCAAGCATCTCGAAGTGAAAAGTTTGCAAGACTGATTATGTAATAGCTATATAATATTTTAATTGTTCACGTAAGTTTTGAGAATTCGGAAAGTAAAAAGCACAGATAAACGAGAAGGCAATTTCGAAAATAACGAAATAACAGTTAGCTTAAAAAAAAAATTTATGACGTCGCACACTCAAGAATAACAGTGCAAGAGAAAAAAAAGAGATGGAAAAGGCAGTGGTGATATGCAACAGTAGACAATCGTTCTGACTTATTACGGATATGATATAAAAACCCTGCAGTTTGTGAGACTATCCCGGAAAAAGATGGGGTCACTATTCACTATCAATCAACGATAGTGGATACATGGGTAAATGATTTAAAGAACTTCCCTGCTATGTCCAAGCAATCTGAATGGCAAACTGATTTAAATCCTCAAACTCTTACTGAAGTTGGAGAGACCATAAGAAATATGAAGCGACGGAGAGCAACAGAGGCTGATGGATTAACTCCTGAGATTTTTGAGGGCTGTGCTTCAGTTTTAGCACGTTGATCACCTAAAACATTGGCTACAACCTCCGAACTGGACGCAATCCCATCTGACTGGTATCAGTCTGTAAGAGAGGACAGAAATCTTCCTCTAATGATCAAAAAGGAGTCAGCTTAACAAGTATAGTGTCTAAGACATTAGCCCCAATAACACTTCGACGTCTAATTAAATCTCGTAAAGAGCAAACCTGGGAAAACCAGGTTGCTTTCAGACCTTGACATGGATGTATAAACCAAATATTCACCCTTCAGCAGGTTCTGAAACATAGACATACTTTTCGACGTCTGACTACAGTCGTATTTCTTGAATATAAGGCGGCACTCTAAAGTGTTGTCTTGAGGTCCTGTGAAAGTGTGTGTCATTGAAAGACGCATCAATGAAGTGTATTGACCTTGTATGGGCTCTCTATTTGAACAATGAAGACATGCAAATGATATAGTTCTGTCTGTCGAAGATGCTGACAAAATGCAGTCTTCCAATCCAATGGTGTTTGGGATGTGATTCTTACCCCACAAAACTTTGCATCACATTTGGCCCGTGTCAGCACCTGGATTTATGATAGATAGTGGAGTGGTTGAACGCATCGACCGCTTCACTTATTTTAGGAGCCTCATCAATTCTGACAGTATAGTATCTGATGGGATCTTGGCATGGATTTAGAAGGCTCGATTGACTTTTACCATCTCGTAATGTTGACGAGATATTCATCTGCCAATCAAAAGGCGAGTTTACTGTTCACTAGTTCTCTCTGTTCTACATATGGGGTGTGAAACGTACGCATTAAGAATAAGGAATATTCTTAGGTAACTGGCGTTCGATCATTAATGTCTTCGAAGCACTCCTCGTGTATTTTGAGATCACGGATTAAGCAATGTCTGGGCTATGTATAGGGTACTAGATAAAGACAGCAAACCAATTGATGAGGTAGTAAATTTTCATCAACTGACGTAATTAGGACATGTTACGTTTGCCTGACAAAAGCCTACCTCGACGAAAGATGTTATTGGGTGCGGGAGTAGGGCGTAGGGAAACTGGGGGCGGCCAAACCAAAACATGACACCAGCTTATAAAGCGATTGACTACGGCACCAACCCATGTTAGTAGGTGTAGATTACCTCTTTGGGATCCACGTAATTAACGTAACCAGTGGTTAGAGACTTTGAATGACATGAATCAAAATCGTTTGCAATGGAACAGGTGCATCCATTCTTTGTCATTCTTCGAAATCTGAGCCACTGAATTCCTTGTAAATTTTTTACTTCACTAATTTATATCTTCTTGAATTGTATCTTCGATGCCTGGTCTTTTCTTTCATCATTCACAATGTTACTACCTTTACTTTTCTAGGATTCAGTCTGGAAATTGCATCTTTCTGTGGTAGTAAGGGAAGGAAACTTGAACCAACATACATACGTACCAAGTTCTGTGTTGCAATAGATTGATTCATGAGTTAAATTAATAATTAACATCTTACAACATTGGTGTCCTAATTTAATCTCACTACTTCAAAATCTTTAAACAATCCGACGTAAACAATAACAGCTTGTTTAATACAGACTGCTTGTAACCTACGGTGATTCGGTAATAGAACCTAAAGAAAATAATCTGCCATCTCATCTAAGGTCCGAAGTATAAAGTGGTCACAGTGTCCTGTCGCATCATTAGAAAGACAAGTTGTTTCGGAGACATGGACAGTTATATCTCTGTAAACTCATGCCATCCAGTACCACTTGAGTGTTTTAAAATACATATTACCAATACCATGCTAACACACATTTGGCTGGTATGACAAGTCACCCGAATTCCAAACTTTCACACCGTTTGCAAAAACATTATTTCTTCTCCATGAAATTCTCATGCTTTTACCCACCTCAAAATGTATGCGCTAAATATTACTGCAAACTTGTAGTTACAATTGGAAGCAGTTCATTGAACTGCTATAATGTATCTTCAATTAATGAGACTGCAATAAAAACGTTGATATCAAATGCAAGTATTTAGTTACTTTGTTTGATAAATCATTCAACCGTATTGGATTACACATGTTTTTGTTCCGTTGGTTATACTGTGTTATCTTGCATTTAAATTCAAAACTTAGTCTGTCTGAATGACTGTTTGTTTAGGTTAACTAGTTCAGTACAAACATTGTTCCCAAGTATGTATGAAACCTGAAGTTTCATTCTATGAATATATTCACTATACCAGTCAGACGCATTTCTTGAACTGAGTTTTGAACCGAAAACAGTAAATAATATCAAAGTCTTTTATTTCCTGCAGCTAAAATTCAGGGTTATAGTCCATCAGTCGTAGTTTAAACTTCGGAAGTTGCATGCAGGTACATCAAAACGATATATCCCACATAAGATAAAGTGTGAGACATGGATTCCACTTATACCTACGTATCAAATTCATGAAACTAGTAACGTTAACTTAATCGGCATAATTTTTGTTATTGGTCGTACATGGTCTGTATCAAGAGCAAAAGCATCAAAATAATGAACATGAATACCTCAACTTAAATTATGACGAAACTCTTTGAACTACAACAGTTATATCATTGGAAGCATGATGGATTTATAAAGCAAGTTAAGTTGAAAGAAGCAAAGAAGAAGACGTATTTTTACATGTATTTTGATCAGTCATATTATGAGAAATTATAATGGTGAACATTTTGTGATCGTTTCGATAAGCCTATTCATGGTATTAGAGATCATTTTGAAATAACTCAGGTGAATCTGTCAGTTGATGATAAATTAGTACATTTGTGACGTTTAGGAATAGTATAAGATTATTAAACTTATGTATAAAGGTTAAGAAAGACTGAAAATTAATTTGTTTGTTTTTATTTCCGGACTTGAAGAAAGAAATCTGCCATAATTTTGATCAATGATCATCGTTTTGTTAATATGTCAGCTTTGTTAAAAGTAATTTTATTCTGCTTAGATGGAACGAACTAGTGCACTATAATGAAGGTTATCTTATCTAGTCATAAGTGTAACAAATTTATGACAAGAATTCATGTAAAATTTTCGATGCATGAAGTAATGAAAAATTATCATAATCAAGGTTTTTTAAACAAGATTTATTCAGATAAAAAATCTTGAAAAGGTTAGTGTAATTTGAATTGAATAATGATAAAGTGAAAAAATAATAGTAAACTAAGAACGCTAAACATTATAAGCAAAGATGGATAGTGGCTAGCAGTGGAATCCAGGACGCGCGTTTCGTCCTATTTAGGACTCGTCAGCTGGATGTACCTGCATCTCAGAGTTGACGTTCACTCAGTACTTTTCACTTCAAACGCCATCTCGTTATCCATACTAACCAGATTTCACATTTTCAATAAATACCTAACACAATTGTAGTAGCATACTCACATGAGGATAATTGTGTTCATAACAATAAAATTCGAAATATTTTTTTATTTATTTCAATGTTTACTTTGAATAAATCAGTTGAATCTTCTTGCTATTTATCCGATAAATGATCTAGATCTTTTTGTATAACTACTAAGCACTGAATAACTGGACACGTTTTATTTCAGTAAAGATTATTTTCGATTAAAATACTTCACATAAATCGTGATTGAACTGTTGGTAAACTTCAGTTTCATAGAGCCGATAGAAGGTAACAAAATTAATTTGAGTTTTTATTACGGTTACTCTTCATCTCACTTCAAATTCTATCATATTTAAAAAGCCAAAATACAAACCTACCAAACTTTATATTACTGTCTTCAAGTGATTTCTGTTTATACTTTCATTACTTAACGAAGAAATAACAAACTGCGTTTCATTTAGAGATTATATAATGTTTTCGGGTTTCTTATCAATTACGAGGATTAACTTCTCTATACTGTACTGTTTATCAAGGGATAGAATTATGAATCTGATACCTTATCCAATACGAATATTTATGTGTTTGCATATGAAAATCTTTTGTCGGATAAATATCAAATGTCATATCACACTTAACTGACTGTGCAACATTGAACGTAACCAAAATAATTTATTCCCAAACATCACTAAAGTCATATAATAATATTTTTCAACTAGATATCAATTTAGCTGTCAATATTGTTAAGCATATATTAACTTGATTCAAAACAGTTTATTAATTCGCTCATTTGGATAGAAAATGCCTACGATTCACGATACTTCACTAATGAAGATTTAGCATAAATCACAAGAACATATTGAATTTAGCATAATTTGTATTTATCAAAAATGGTTTTAAGCTATGAACAAAATAGCACTTCAATTACATCAGTTTGGTTAGATAAATGACAGGATTTCAAAATTTGTTGACAAGTTTCTCTTTTTTTTGAAAAAACAAACAAACAAAGGATTTCAGTGGTTTGATAAGACAAAAGGAACATGATCATTATTCTTTGATTTTAACAGCAGTATTTCTGCTTATTGATTATATATGCTTCCAGTAATTTTTTTTGATACAGTTCGTTGTAAATGTTTATATAAAATATCCTTACTTTTGACTGAATAATAAAAATATCAATTATAAAAAAGTAGAATAAGGAAATGCCTGATTATGCATTGCAAAACCTCATTGAACATAAGTTCGCCTGAATAAAAACTAGTATCGATCTCAAACGAAGACGTGCATCATGATAGTTTGTATCAGACTATATAGAGAGACTATTTTCTACATAAAATTAAACTGGAGAAAAATAGTAAATATGGATTGTGATATAAATCCTCCCAAATTAAGGAGATAATAAATGACAAAGTAACGTATACACATATTAAAGGATGTAAACAGAATAGACTAAAAAACCAAAAAGGAGAATAACAATTAAATTGTAAAACAAACTATTACAAATGTGATGAGCTATATTTTTAATGAGATTTTTAATTGACAATCATATATGTAAACGTTTACTCATGCCTTATCCTCCTGACTTTCGCTATTATTGCGTACTCTCAAACTTGGACAGACTTTTACACAAGGAATACAGTCAACTTTAGGGAAAATCTTCTTGTCTTCAATCCAAATCGCAAACAGGAATGCTGTAAAATGAATGTTTGTAAAACGAAATAATAAAATTTCATTGAAGATAGAATCTTTATCTACTTAGCTTAAATACTTGAAAGTTTCACATATAAAAAGTGTTCGCCCTTCATTATTTATCTCCAGATCCTTTTTAAGAAAAAAAACATGATGGATTTTGAAATTGTTTAGTGTTTTATGAGTAACTATAGCTCCGAGAATGCTTATCTGAAATACTAAAGGCTTCATTAATCTCACTAATAGTGATTTCAACATACTTCACAACTTCCTTTTTTTAATTCGTTACAGTTGAGTAAGTGATTTATCAACAAGTACCCACATACAGAAAACTTAGCAGGGAACTTTTTGTGAGTTGATCAGATAATAATATCTCACGTATAGAATGACATAATAAGATTCATTTTTGTGAGCTAATTAGAGAGTTCTGAGTACTATTGGAAAGTAATTAGTAGATAGAAAACATGGAAATATTTTCCTGAGCATATATTCATCTCAACTTGCTAGTCATGCATCAAACTCTAAAGATCAAAGATGAAGTGGCAATAAATATTATTTCTTAGTTACGTCCTAATCACATTAAAAATAAACAGGTATATATCTTAGAGTTAAAATGATGTTACAGTCTCGTTTTGGAGAACTGATTTCGGTTGGTATGACAGGTACTTCTGAAGTTCGGCGGCCTGCTTGAATACCTGGGCTACCTGTTTCTGCCATCTAAATATTTCTACAAGTTATCTGGGTTTTTTAAATTTGTTTTAACCTATCATTATGTCTCTTGATCGCATAACCTATACAGGCGCGTTTATGAAAAGCTTACTTCCTTTCGCTGCGAAAATTACAAACAAGTACAATAAGAGACATCGTGGTGTTTGGCAATATGCTTTAGAGAGAATAAACATTAATCAAATGTCGATTCCCGAGCTGCTTAACTCTAACTGTCGATCTCTAATTAACAAGGTGGACTATCTACGATTTCTGCTAAGTCAAAACATGTATCGTAATTGTGGTGTCATCACAATTCGAAAATCTTGGTTGACTGACTTACAGGATGATTGCCTAGTATCATTACGTGATTTTAATATCTATCGTCAGGATCGATCAAACAATAAAAAGACCTGTGGTGGCGCAGTAGCTACTGATTTTATGTTTGTTTTTGTTTTGTTTTTTTTTGGTAAAAAAAACTTGTTGAAATAACTCGTGCTGAGAATTCTATATTGTACCAGATTATAATATTGAATAAAGCCATTAATTAATTAATTAATAATTAATTAAATTAATACATTTGAAGATGAAATGTTGAATCTTCTCGACAAAGCGGTGTAATTAACCTTCTTAGTAAAGGTGAAGTCTTTCGATTGACCAGTACACGGGAAAACATTTTGTATGCAAGGTTTGTACTCGCAATACAGAAGATATTTATCTCGAGTCACCAAGTAGTAATTAAGTTTATATCTTTAGGTAAAAAAATTAGTAATAGGCATTCATTTAACAACGAGTAATCACTTAACCGTATTACCCTAATACGAACACAACGTATATGTTTATAGATCCCCACTTATTTATTACGCTAACGTAAATATTGGTATATGTGCAAAACTCTTAGGAGTGATTTGGTCTTGTTTGCAACTATTTTGTTTTTGAAAACATGACTTAATAATAAGAAACCATACTGAGGAACTGATAATTATCAACTACAAAATAAATAACATTATCTCATTTCAATTGTTTGTTAAATTCATGATAATATAATGGCTAAGAACATACCGAGTAAGCAAACACCTCCGCAGCCAGTGAACTGTACTAGATAAGGATTAGGTGCATGTATAAACATTGAGACAACAGAACATAGTATACTTCCGACAGTCTTAAAGGAAAAAGAAATATTGAATAACTTAATGTCGATATAATACTTTAGATAATAAAGGATTAATCAAAGATGTTTGGCAGCAAACAACTTTACATTATATTATAACTGCATGACATCCTAAGCAGAGTTCGATGGTGTCTAGCAGTTGAGTTCAGAACGCACATTTCGTCCCATTTGGGACTCTTCAATCGTAGGCATCTTTATCCCATAATTATTGTTCATTCATCCTGGATTCCACTATGAACCGACATCCAACTATACTTATAATGCTTGTTACTTAATTTCAACATCGAGGCGATCCTTACAGAATCCACATATATCAAAAGAGTTATCAATTGTAGTCCATAACATTAATGGGGAGATAAGAATAATTATATGACATTCTCTTATAATGATTATCATTTTAACCCAGAAACCTTTTTTATAAACAATAATTATTTACATTAAGAGAATTCTAAACAATTGTCTAACACATGAAGTTTTCATAAGTTTTAAATGGTTAAACTTTTTTAAGTAAATAAACGAACTTCAGACTACGTTTTTCGTTAAAATAACTTTCGTGTCGCATTCAGTATGTTTATTTTAAGATTATTTCATGCTATAAGTACTGTATGTGGTCAAAAAAACTGATAAAAGTATTCAGACTAAATGAGTCAAGTAACTGATTAAAACTATTCATACTTACACTATGCATAAGTGGCACTACTAAACATATAAACCTTAATAATAAACATTTTTTGTACATGAAAAGTTTATTATTTAGGATTTAGCTTACGAATCCAGTAAATACAATGCCATAGTTGATAGCAAAGTAGGTAGGACCAAATATATTTCCTGTACCTCCTGGCATAATAACAAACACTCCACTTAGTATCAAAAATAGTACCCATACCCAAATTGCGTATGCAGCTTTAAGACCCGGCATTGGTATTCCTCCAATATGCGGAAATGTGAAAAGTATTATAGCCCATAGTATCAACACAATGCACAATGGTATCTGAAAATGGGCATAATAAAGGAGCGTAATAATGAATTAAATAAATCACTAAATAAGAGTTTACAGGACAGTTTTGCAGCTCAGTGCTTTTAACAGTTTATGTTTAAATGCCTAGTTCTACATAAATACTAATCGTACAGATAGTCATATCGTTTAGCTAAGATATACTTCCGAACAATCCGTACCAGCAATTATCGTATTAAACAAATTTATGAAGTTATTGTTCGAATGTAGTTGATATAAATGATCGACGTTAAGTAAACAATTAACCGTTAAAAAAAATTCATTCTTGCAAGCAACGGTTAGTGGTAATTACTAATTTTTCGATCTCTAACCTAAATCAAATAATCACAGTGACTTTTATTCGGTTTCTGGTTAAATATGAAATAGTACAAAATTTTATTGATTTAAAAGTGAAATAACATAGTCAGCCCTAACTAAAGAAAGGCATGGTAAAATTGGACATAGATCTAATTTGCAAACTTTCCCTACAACAAGATTAAAGAAAAATTAAGATGGAAATCTAAAAATTCGAAATCAAGGTAACATTATATCATAGAAATAAGTCAAATATTTACGTGCCAATTGTAAACCTAAATAGTTTGTTCGAAAGTATACAGCTTTCAAAGATTATTTTGCTTGGCAATTAATCCACATTCCACGAAATTAGCATTTACTTTTAAAGTTATAATCATTCAAGTTGAAAACGCATAGTCATTGAGAACATTTCTTTTTCTTTGTCTACGCCTTTCACATCATTAAATCTCACCTGAATGCACCTAACGTGGAACAGATCTTCGTTTGGTTGTAAAACTAAATCCTATGTCTTACTAATGGACTTGTAGGATGAACAGGCTAGAAATTAAGCCGTTTGTTTTTTACTCGCTAGTAAGCATATACAATAAGTACTTCAGACATAGATTAAGTTTTTCCATGTGATACGGATTTCAACCAACTTTCCAACACTATTATACTAATGTATAAAAGTACCCACCTCATGAGTTTCTAAATAAATAAATAATGGAACTAATGAATGACAACTATTGGCCATTACACACATATTTTGTTAACCTGTAACATCAAATGAATGCAGTAATTTCTGGAAATGAACAGTATATCATATGGTTTATAAAATAGTTATTTTATTCATGTGTGTATATACGTTACAAGCAGACAATGAACAACAACAATTAACTTGACTAAATAACGTCAAGTAATACACAAGTTTCGGGATATGTAAGTTATAGTAGACTAGTGGTAGTTCTTATGACAAGACAGTGAATCATTTCTTTAAACGTGGAACCATCCCAATTATATCTAATTGCATGAACTGGATAATTTGACAGCAAACGCTAAATTAGCATATAAGACATACTGCTCTGAACCAATTACAGACCAATTAAAAATAAGTGATAACACGAAAACACGCTTTGGTAGTCTGGCTGAATAGTAAAGATAGTAATATCTAACCAAGTTAAATTATTACCTTGAATGAAATGCGATCTACTATAGCACCCCACATAATCCTACCACCAGCATTAAAAAGTGCTGTTATACTGGCAACAATAGATAGGTACTTATCATCACTGATATACTCTTGTCCAAAAAGCTAAAATAAAGAAAATAGTATTGTAAAATATGGATTTGTGATTAAAAACGCAGTTGTAATGTTTACCAATAGTAAATTTTATCAAACAATACTAAAACAGACACGTTTTCCAAGTATTATTTCTCATGTCACTTATTTAACACTCCTAATATTTAAATATTGTTTTTATCATAAATCGATATTAGGCGGAGGCTCATTGAGAACAAGCAAATACTGTGGAGACATTTTCCTAGTTTTGAAAAATTATTCATGCACTCGTCAAATAATAGATTCACAGAATTCTCCCCAATGTTTGCTACAAACGTTTATGCATACTGAAATTAATAATCTAATAAACAAATTGAACTACGAATATCTTCCATCGGTATATCGATGATGTTTTCCAACTTCGCGTTTGTGAAATAACTAAGGACTTGAATGATAATCCCGGACTGCACATCAAAATATACAGATATACTGATTATATATGAGACAAAAAACATAAAGATCCGGATAGTAAACTTATGAAGGGTTGTTAACTTTAAAACTACACTTTTTTAGAAACAGTTAACTTTATCTTTTTCAGGGTAACTTGGAAGGGTGAAATTTCTACCGATTGATTTTTAATATTTTACTCTGACACTGTTTCTCTGTTGTACTCCACAAGCAACATACCTTGTTCAAATGAAATTAGATCTAACAAATAAGTACAATAAATATTTTTTGAATTTTTAATAAGAGAGTAGAAAGTAATAAAAAGTCAATTGCTTGCCAATTTTCAAATAAATATACATACATTATGCTTCATGATCACTTACCTTGTACGCTGATGTGATAATTGTGATAGGAATAATAATTAAGAACATGATTATCCATAACAAGTAGAAGTCAATTTTACGGAATAACTGCTTAGGCGGTATGTTGACTTGGCTAAAACATAAATGATTAGTTGTGATATATTTTAGTATTTGTAATTCTTTTAAAATATGGAATATAATCTTATTACGAAAAAGTAAATACTTATTTAAAATATTAGAATTTTCATGTTATATCTATCAGTGTTACACAAAACGTCCATATATGAATTTCTGGTAAATCAGTTTACATAATCAGATTTTGATGATATTTCGACCAATGAATTAGAACTAAATGTGGAAAAATTAGTCAGCTCTGAAACGAAGTATTTTAAAAAAAGCTGAATCAACTGAGCACTCACTGTTTTTATGGAGTCCAACCTTGATCATTAACTGAACTGTCAGCCGAAATTTACGCTGTTTACAATAACGGAGAGGAATTTTGAAAGTCAAGTTAACCACATTATTACCCCACTATTTTCAGTTTTAATGAGTGCATTACCAGAAAATAAAGATTTCAATGGGACTCAACAAATTATTCATTCGAAATATTTCTATCAGAGTTCATGGCATTCTACTATTCAAAAGTAATAATAATCTATCGAAATAATTCTGCACAATAAATTCATGATAATAATTGTATTTTAAAATATATCCCTTAAATGATAGATGAGTTAATATTAGATGCATAGAATAACTTACTTTGTGTTTACTTTAAGAGAATCAGGTTTATCCTGAAAAGCAAAAATACGCTGCATTATGTTGAATGACAATAATTTATTTAATTTTCTTTCTATTGCATACATGCTTACAAGTGTTATAATTCAGTTTTTGATTTAATGTTTGGTGGGGATCATAAATCAAATTCACCGATAATGAAATTGTTACACAGACTTTCGGAAATGAACATTTTTAGATAACTGCAAGTTAGGCTTTTCTAAATTCGATTACATAAGACTATTTACATTGAATTCAAAACTTAGTAAGGCTTTTGTATGAAACTGCTTTTTATTGAGTTTATATGATCATCAACAACGATACAAGTACTGTAATCAAGTAATGTGTTTAGATAAAAGTAATCATTAGCTTCAGCGTTGTACAACAGTGAGTTTTCAGTGTGCACTTTAGAAGCGACACAACTTTAACTTCAATTTTGTTTGCATTTAATTGCTATGTTAGTTCATTAATTAAATTTGGGTTTCAGACGTTCCTAAGACCAACTGATACGTTCTAAAGTACAAACAGTAATAAGTTTCCACACATGGTGGTCAGAAACCAAACAGTTCAGAAAGTGAAATTTTACTACCATAGATAACAAAGCAATGGCTTAATCAATAAACGTTAAAATGGATGGGATTACACAATATTGACGGAAGCATTTAATAATGAGTATCAAAGAAATTTCATTGATTTGATTACGTCAATTATTCACAAGTCATTTGTGCATAATACTGCCGGTATTTTACCTATCTAGTGAGTTTAGATAATTATTAGACTTTTAGTTTTCTGTTTTAATAGACATTTTCGTCAGACTGTGACATAATTAAGAGAATGAAGTACCATAGGCTAATATACCATGCTTTGAATATAGAATAAGGGTACCCATTGGTGGTTGAAGCAAATAACAATGCTTCTAATCAAAAGTCGCATATCAAAAAGTCAATATTTCATAATTTAGGCAGAGTCCATTAACTATCATTACACAAGATGATATCGTGTACAGTAATTTCAAAAACCACTTTCTTCTTAAGTGCCAAATAGAAAACTCTTGGTCGTACTCACAAATGTATGCATAAAGACTCCAACTTTGATACTGAATTCAGTCGAAATTCCATGCTATCATTTTATATATTCATTGTGCATACGTAGGTCAAACTAGTCGTCTAAATATCAGAAATTCGTTTGAAACTTTTAAAAATGCAGACATTTCTGATGACATTTCAGATACTACTTGGCACCATCATTGAATGCATCATTAGAATATACAATTTTGTTTGACTTTTGAACCAGTATTTGAGTTCAAAATATAACTGGTAGCAACTCATCATATTCTTTAAATACTAATACTAAATGACAAAACCAAATACATATTTGCCTGAGGTATAATATGTACATCATTGAAGAAAACGTAGAATAATAATCAGATCGGATGAAAACCTTTGAAACGACATTCGTGACGTACGAAATGATCATAGAGAGTGTTTGAAGAGTTCTACATATTGCCTATATTCACAACAAATAAACGTTTAGTCGATAAACCCTTAGTCAAACGAGTCCTGTTAATTCTTTTACAACGTTCGCTCCATATGGTTAAAATCATTAACTGATTATTACGTTACATTGATGATTTTCACAGCTGTGAGTCAACATTATCAAAAGAACATTAAATAAACCTAGAATAAAGATAATATAAGATTTGCAATGACAAAATAAACCAGTTAACCGTTTATTTACCTTCAGTTTTTTCTCGCTCATGAGGAGAAAACCAACGATTTGTCCACTGATCAAAACACCTCCCAAGATGAGAAATGCTCTTGGTATTCTATCTAATAGCTCAGGGTCGTCAAATAGCCTTTATGTATGGTACAAAATTACAAACCATTATTCTAAGTTTAAAAACAACCAAGTCAGGGAAAAGTGTTTAAAAAGACCTACTATTTTTCTCGCTGTGTTTTTAGACGATTAAGTTAGATTTTCGGGTTTCGTTCGCCTAATATCGCCTATTAATTTCTACAGAATTCGTGTTCACTAGTAAAATTTAATGCCAACTAAGCTATTGGTATGTTGGGCAAAGATGAACATAACTTGTTATAAAGTAAATAAAATAACTGCTCGAGCTATATGCTTGAAATTTACTAAAACCTCACAAAATCTACTTCTGAAAGCAAATCAGCAATATGTTATCCTTAAATAAGTATTCCCAGTATTATTTTAATATTCGTGCGATTTATTTAGCAAGCTACTTTTAAAATTTTATGAAGTTTATATTTACAAAATCATTGTATGTTGTGATAAGCTGATTCAATTAAATTTTGATCCCTGATTACTATTCCAGTGGCATTCTTCTTAAAAGTATGGTATGTAAACAAATTATAAAGTTCCTTTCTAACGCTTTTGCATTAGCTTCAGAATTTTGAAGCTCACACAGCTACAAATAAAGTTATTCTGGATACAAATAAATAATATATTTTTAATATACCGATGTGTAGAAAAATTAGATTTTCTGACGTTTCGTGACTCAATGTAAGTCACCTCTACAGAGAATAAATGAAATACTACAAATATATTAGTTATTCTGGATATTTTCGGCTCTTAGTATATATTTTTCTGTGATTGTTTTTCGCGAAAATAAATCAACAGAACTAAAATTGTGGAACGTTTGAACAGGAATTCTTGAAGTTTGTTTGCACTTGACTACACATCTTACTCGTGTTATCACAGCAAGAAGTAGATAATTCTGAAAAATGAAGATAAAGCTTTATATCATAAGGAGTAGTTCTAAAGTATAAGTGGATAACATGAGTTTGATGTATAAAGGACTGATTATTGTTGTTGATGTCTTTGATCAAAAAAGCACAAACAGATGTCAATAACTCTGCATAGGTGCACCTACAACTAAATACTACATTATCTGATTTTCACATTAGGAACGCTAGAAATTAACAACCGATACTTTTAAATGTTCCAAAAGAGTTCACTTAACTTCAAAATAAATTTGGACGGACGTTTCAGTAAGAAAAAAGCATTTTGGTTTCACGCAAGTTGAAATAAGATTTCGGTTAATATAGATTGGGATGAAATTGAGCTGTTATAGATGAACAGTCTGTAGTATGAAACTTGCTTCACTAGGTTTCACTTAGTTCTTTAATTACTAAGAATTCCTGAGGCTGTAAATGAGTTATTTAAGCGCAGCTTTATTTTGTTTGATTTTCATAGAAACTTTTATTGACAAATGGACGATTGAGTTCAGCTGTCAAGATCATGCATGGTTAGCTAAATATGGTTTAATTTGCAATAATTGTTCCAGGACCATTTAAGGGCCCACAGAAATACTATACCGAAAAATACTTTTCATCAAACCACCGAGAACTGACTTGCCGTTTCGAATTCTATCTTTAGGATTCCTGGAAACACCAAAATATTTTTGGGTATTTGTTTGATAAGTCAAGTCATTTTTGAAACGCCAAACATTCTGTTTGTCATTTGTTAATGTGAAAACACATGCAGAACTCAAATTAAAGTGACACTTTTGACCTCTTAAAAACGGTATGGATAGTTTTCCATCACAGTTTTGTGACATTTAACATGATTTCGCATGGCATTTTTTGCACATATGATCTTTTTTATACTCCTTTTTTTCAAAATATTACAACTTCGTCATATAATGCACCGCATGACAGTTGCAATTTGTGTTCATCTAAGAATTTTGAAGGAATAAACTATATCCGTGTGCCTAATAGATGAATCGTCGTTATATTTAGGTAGTCTATTCTACTTTTGTTTTTGTAATTTACTTACTCACATGATTTTGATCGGATTTTTAAGGAAAAAGTCATCTTGCTTGGTCATTTGAACTAGAAAGTCAAAGAACATTTGGCATGCGTGAAGTGTATTGTAGTTTAAAAACCTCGGATATTCTTTTACATTTAGTCTAATGTTATTCTATGAAAATGTTTAAGGGACACATCCTTTTGTGTTATCAGCAGACTAATATATATCGACAGGCTCAATTGTGTAATAAAATTTATGAACCACAAGTATAAATGATCCCTTAACTTAAGTGAATAAAAGCTCACTTTGTAGTAGGATTCACCGGTGTGTTGTTCGGATTGATAAGTGCTGTCTGAAGGGGCGTAAAAACTAGTGCTCCCAGTCCAAATCCGCCAACAACTAAACCAACAATGAGGAATCGTCGTTTTGGAAACCACTAGATGTAAACAATGAGAAATATAGATCACATATATGTAAAGCAATCACTAAAGATGCCGACAAACCTGGCTTTTTGTGGCATAATTTGATACAAAATATAAAGCAAATGGTTTATAGCTGTAATCCAGGCAAAATGTTTAAAAATTCATTCATTAGTTAGTCAACCGTCTTTGAGTTTTTCAGTTGCCATGAAATTCAGTAAAAACTATTTGAAACATATGGGCGCTCTATAAGTCACAGCAATGGGACTTGTAAAATAAGACAAATTATTTAGCGATATTTAAAATAAACCATCCAACTTCATAGTCTATTAAAAGCTCTACATTTTATCACAAAAGAACACATATTTAGATTGCTTAACTTTGATATTGATATGAATCACCAAAACTTACTTTCGCAGCCACTCCCATCACTACCGAATATGCAAATCCAAGCCCCAAACCCATGAGTACTGAGTATGTTATAATAACACCGATGAAAGTCCTTTGAATTGTAATATTTGTCAAGAAAACACTTCCACTGAAAGTTGAATGAAAGATCTCATGAAGATAAATATACAAAGATGATAAAAACAACGTCAAAGTTGAATTCTGCTCTTCCATATTCTAAATTAATACTGCAGAAATTTGTAATAACACAGAAGTAAATACTACTGATGAACTGCGTAATTCTGAGTTTTAATTAGCCGTTAAGTTTGTCAATGGTATACAGCATTGGAAAGTAACTGAAACCAAGGATGACGAACGAGACATTGAATAAAAACCAAATTTTTAACGTTCTGTAGTTTGTACGCCTTTTTAATGAAAGAATGAAGTAAAGAGGTTGCTTGATGACTTTGACAGTGTGAATAAAGCATTCATTGATGATAAGAAAGAAGAATGATAACTTTCTATGAAACACAAATAAATTAGTCATATGTCAATCTTATTTCTACTTCTTATTATCGTTCTAATCGTCTTTCCATTCTTGTGAACTTTAAAATTCATTCGGTTGCCTTATTCCACCAACTAAGCTATTGAAAAAATAAGACACTTTTCCGGTAATTCCTCTTACATTAAGCGATAGTTGATAGCAAACATAACGTTAATTTACGTCTTATTTGTGCATACATCAATTACATTATCTTTATGCTCAAGAACTAACACATAAACATGAATATGTAATAGATTTCGGAAGATTTAAATTAATTTCGAACTTTATGATCTCGGAACATACCTGTGAAGCAAACATCCTAGTCCTACGACCAAACGGAAACCAGCTTTCTGATACACGATTCCACCAAGTGCCATTGATATACCTTGAGATGCTAGTGCAAGCGCTGAGAGCCAAACAGTTGATTGAATTTGCACATCGGGATCGACACGAGCTTTAATATAACTCAAAATATACGGAACCATGTTTGCTACAAAAAAACCGTAGAATAAAGAAAGATATTACCAATTGTATAAAAGTAACCAAAGGTTATTTGAATGAGAACAGCACCAATGACTGTCAAAGTTCCGAATAACAAGTTCTTCTTCTTCCTTTCCTATATATAACGAAGAAATTAATTAAATCGGCATTATTACCATGTTGCACGGAATCTTTGGACATTTGAGGACCATGTCTAACGGCGTTTGCACGAAAACTACCAAAAGCAACAACTTACGTACTTAAATATGTGGTAAATCTTGAAGGTTAAATGTGATGATTTAAACAAAACAAAAACAACTTTTTACGGCGAGTTAGCAGAGACCAGTCAATTTTCATCGCTTACTTCATTATTTAACTTTGGTTGAATGAATACACTGAATTGAATCTTGTTTTCCAATTTGTTTTGTAGAACTCTTTTAAATCAATGAACCTTAGTCAAGTTAGCCATCATGCTAAGCTCTTTCGGTATCACACGACAGATCAAAGGACCATGTAAAGTTTACCAAATATCGTCAGTTACAGGAATTACTTAATTGAACTAATTATTTGTGCACTATGAAAAAGCTTTTGCAGCCGTTACTTCACTTAACTAGTTATCATATAGTAGTTAGCGGTAAAAAATTAACGAAACGAAAAGTTCTCTTTGTCTTCAGCGTTGATGCTGATCTCATTAAATTGCTAGACACAATCAAGCTGAAGGTAATCTGTCGTGGATTCGAACTATATGTTACTCCGTGATACGCATCCCTTATAACTACCAACTAGATTAGACCAAACGCTACCCGATATATAGATAGCTTTCCAGACATATCATACAATCTCTTAATCTCTGACTTCTGATTTGACTGGGTTGGAATACTTTGATTACAAAGGCGTTACGTGTGAAGGCGTTGTTTTACCATAGATATCTATGGCATCTTTGAACACATTTCTTCTATAAGGTTGTCTTTTTTCAGTCATCAATGAGACCACAGTTATGTAATACCGCGACAAACTACTTCATGCCAGGTATTGTTAACAATGAGAGATTTAGGCGTGAGCTAGGAGGTAATACCATCATCGTACAACTTGAGTAGACCGACTTTCCGCAGAATCACCCACACTATTGACCTACACCGGAGAGAGAGACACTTTAAAAGATGTAACCTGTTATGGTCGTTAACTTTAAAATTTCACTAGCCCTACATAGTTTCCAATAATGGTGTGGGTACATATATGACTCGAATACGCTCTCGATTGTCCAGCTCGGATCACTGTATAATTCGTGTCCAACCTAAAGTATATGGAAAGCATAGAAATAGTGCACCCTTACATCAGACCAAGAAAGTCTAATATAGAAATTACTCAGAGGAAAATATTCAAAATCTGAGGACATTTTTCGTACGACTAATTGGAAATTATTTACAAATGACTCACTGCAAAACACTACTGATGTTATCACTTGTTATCTTAAATTTCTGTTTGATGTTTTTTGTCTCACTGAACCGTCTTTGTAAGTATTGATGGACTTACATATCCGCAACTAAACCGACTACGGTGGGTAAAAGAAAAAATGTGCGAAGAAAAAAACTCTATTGAAGTTCGTAATCTAAATGGCCTAAAAACCCTACCGATTAGACGTCTCAACTCTATGTTTACTTGGAAACTCCTATCTTGTAAAAACTTTTCAAGGATGTGGAAACTCTTTTAAAGAACTTACAAGTGGCAAGCACATTAGAAGCGATAACCAGCTGAATGTTTGTGACATATAAGTCTTTTGTATATCGGTCATCTGATGTCGTGCTCCCTATACCCACAGGTTTGAAAAATAGTGGTTTTCCTAGATTTACCGAAACTGATTTCCTAAAATGTCTTCAGCCACTTAATTAATCACAAAGTACAGGAACTGATGAAATTCCAAACCTCATTTTTTAAAAATGTGCTGACATTCTACGCCATCCATTCACGAGTATCTTTAACAGATCCTTCACAACTAACCTCTTGCCGAAAATGTGGAGAAAGATAAAGATAACATAAGACAGTATATGTCGATAAGAATGTGAAATTTAGACCCATAGCAATAACTTCACCTTCAAAATAATGGAAAAATTATTGATTATCCCACTTCAACCTTCATTCAAAGAGCACATTTATCCGTATCAGTCTGCTCACAAGCACAAAAGAAGCTTCGTAGATGCTGTTGTTATTCTGCATCATAATATATTGTTCAGCTTGCAGAAGAGTATGAAGAATGTTCGATGCTCTTTTCTGAACTATACGTCTGCTTTTGATTCTATCTCAAGACAACATTTACTTGACAAGTTATTCAGCGTAACATTGACAACTGGATAACCAATCGGCCATGTTCACATCTCTCTGGAAGAGAGAAGTTCACTGTGTTTGAAGGAAAGTGTTCAACATCTCTACTGACTTAGGAGGGTGCCACAAGGAGCCATTCTTTCACCTCTTCCCTCCTCCCTTTTTTCTGTATGATCTGCCATCTTACACAGAAAACACGACCTCACTGCATGTATGGCGATTTATACCCCTTTACATCCCATAGAAATGAATAGGTTTTTGTCTCGTATTGAATGGTGTTCTGTTGTTAGTGGTCTCATACTTAATCCACATAAATGTCAAGCTGTGAACTCTAGTCTGGGTCATGGACAGTACCTTCACACTATTTTGGGATACCATAATGTTTGTGCCGCTGGAAACTCTTTGATAATCACAGTGTCGAGGATCAATTGTATTTAACTTGTTCCTGTTATCTCTCTTGGTCTTCTCATGTTTTACTGTTATCGGAAAAGGTTTACTGTTTGACTCACAACATGAAGAGGCTGCATGCTTTTAGGATTACTCGCCATGTACTCTTACAATTCGTCAATTCCTACCTATTACCTATCATTCTTTACTGTTCTCGATTACTCTTTCCACTGCGTTCGCGAAAAGACTTTGCTGTATTGTGGAGGGTGCTGAACTCAGTTAGCAAGGTTTTTGGTTAATCTTTTGAAGTCATTATTAATACTGTTGTGCATAGACATTCAAAGTCTCGCAAACTTCTGGCATGTGTTATTTTATCAGATATTAACCATTTACTTCATTCATATCTTTCTCTTTGTATATTTTCTGGTAGAGCAAGACGTCAATACGTTAGAATCCATGCACTCAAGAAAAGGTATAAAAGTTCTATATTACCTTATCTAGCAAATATACTGTGTGTCGAACGGGTTGTTATAGTCGACGTCGTCGATATCTTGTACTGTTCCACATGTTTCTAACTGAAGAAGGTTGTACTAACTCAAATTTTTTAAAATTATTATTTATTTAATCACATATAAATTGGTACAAAGGGCACCGGATACATATGCGCCACACAAAACAATGAGAATGGGAGAAGAAGGAAGAAGATGCATATATATAAAGGAAGGAAAAAGAAAAAAAGGAGAAGAGTAATGATGGAGGAACTGAAATGTACAACCAGAAGAGCTCTCTCAGTTAGGAAAGTTATAGCCACTCTTTATGAAGAAAGTAAAAGAAGGTTGCAGCAGGATCGCCACTGGCTTCTATTCTGAGCCATATCTGATAACGTCTCTAGCCACTGTGTTGCACCATCCCTCAGACACCAGCCAGGTAGTCGTGAAGGACCAACAGAAGCCAACCCTTTGCAGCTTTCTTTCATACCACGACACCATGTCATACACTGACCACCTCCCAATTTTTCCAACCAGTCCCAGAGTCGGCAAATAATGCACGACGTGGAATTCTCTGGGACGACATTCGTAAAACATGTCCAAGCCACCGAAGTCGGTGTTTCAAGATGGTGACACCAATCGAATTATCGTCTCTGCGCTCGAACACACGATGCCGAACCTCTGCATTACTAACATGGTTTTGCCACTTAATGTCAGCAATCCTTCGGAGACAACGATGATCGAACACAGGGAGACGTCTGACATCCTCAACTCGGAGAGGCCAGGTTTCACAAGCATAGAGCAAAACTGCTCTCACCGACGCGTTGTAGAACCGACCTTTTACAGCCAGACTAACATCACGAAGGCGCCAAAGATGGCCCAGATTAGCACAAGCTGCTCTGGCTTTCACTATACGTCATACTTACGGTCACCCGGAGTAGACCGACGAGCTTCCATCAGTTGTAAGGAGCCAGAAGAAACCCAGTGCTTGTAAGCGGGACGTTTCGCGAAGCCGCAAGCGGCTTTACTCGCCATTTTCATGGCGTCGTGAAGATGCAACCAATGCTCATCTATACTTTTCGGTGGGATGGTAGCTAACCTAGAAGCTAGCTCAGCTCGATACTTACTTGCAACAGATGTTGCAGCCAGTTTACTAACGTCGATACGTTGATGGCGGTCAATCCTTCGACCACTGAAAAGTAAAGTGAGATTGGCGCAGACCAGGGCATGACCAGACTCCAGATAGGTACTCCAAAACCCAGCTGCCTTGTACACAACCACGCCAGCGGTAGCTGATCGTAATGTGATCAATCTGAGTCCAGGCTTGGGATGCAGAGGGAGGACGCCAGGTGGCACACCGCCGATGACTGTGCCGGAAGTTAGTGCTGGCCAGAAACAGGCTGTGGTCTGTGCACAGTTGCAGCAAACGGTCCCCATTATCTGTCCTGCGATCAACAAGTCCCCATCAGCCACCTAAACGACTCTCTTCTGTGCCTAGACGCCCGACCTGTGCATTCAAGTCTCCGGCTAGTACTACAATATCTGTCGAACGCGCTTTCTGGAGAAGAACTGTTAACTGATGGTAAAACTCATCCTTGATTGCATCCGGGCTGCAATCTGTCGGGGCATAGGCGGAGATGACGAAAAGACACCGTTTCTCACGCCGATTTCTTATCACTTTGATGGAACTTTCTAATCTAACAGCACATAACCGACTGTTAATGGGGATCCAATCGATTAGTGCTGCCTCAGCTCTAGCGTTTAGTGAGACACTAACAAGACCAGACGAAGATGCCACAGGGTCCTCGGATAAGCGCACGTGGAACAAACTTTTCGAGGCGATAGATGGAGAGCGGATTTGTAGTACTTCACTAGAGTCTTGAATACGGGTCTCGGATAGACAACAAACGTCAACATCAAGACCTTCCAAAGACATAGCCAGCCCTATCTGTTGTCTGATCCGCATTAGTGAGCGAACGTTGAAGGAAGCCAGCTTGAACGGCGTACATGGTTTCAGAAAGACTGCTTCAGTATTCATTATCGGTGGAAGCATTCACTTTCAACCAGACAGTGACTGGAGAT